TATCCCTCTTCTATCCGCCTCCCACTCTCTCCCTATTTATTTCAAAAACCCCCTTCTCTGATGAAGGGTCTAGGCCCGAAACGTCAGCCTCTCTGCTCCTATGATGCTGCTTGGCCTGCTGTGTTCATCCAGCCCTGCACCTTGTTGTCTCAGCAAGAGAGGATGGTGATGGTGGATGGGGACTGTTCAGCCCTCAAAGAGCCATAGGATGATCCTGATGGGGGATGGACATATAGAGAAATTGTAAATCCATATGAAGAGGAGACAGCTGGAAGAGAAACTGAAAACTGTGGAACTGACATCTAGCCACCTGAAGAATCATGAATTTAGATGGAGGCTAAAGTAGGGTTAAAATAGGAAGACAGACGTTCATTGGGGCAGGCATAGGCTGAAACAATGGGTCTGCTTGGGCAGTCCTGTTTGTGGATTTGGGAAGAAGATAGAAGTAGGCTGTGTGGGTTTGGGGGAGGGGTTTGAACTATGAAGTGAGAAGCTGTGGAGGGAAGATCTCCAGAGGAGATGAGGTCAGTGAAAGTCCTGGAAACAACAGCTTGATGTGCAGTGGTGGAGTCATGATCCAGGGGGAGATGGAAGGAAATGTCTAAGAGTTGTTGTTCAGCCTCTGCAAGGTAGAGATTAACACACCAGACAATAACAACAACAACAGTCCTAATCAGAGAGTTTAATGATCTTTTGCTTGTTGGAATAAATGAGTTACTAGGATATTTCTGCCTCCTGGGACTTATGATTGGTGACATTTTCCCCCTTTTGGTTCAAATCGTAAGTTGGTTGAGTTAACTATATTGCTGGTGTAATATTGTTCACAGCCTTGTGTATATTTAATTGTTCTTCTCCATCTCCTCCTGCAGTGTCTTCTCCTTATGCCCTGAAAAATCACTTCCGACAGTATCCTGAGATTGCAGAAGTATAGCATTAAGAAAGCTGTACTAATCTACACCTTGATCTATAGAATGGAAATTCACTTTGTTCTCACTTTATGTGAGCAGTAACACAGGTGATGCACTCATTACCATCACCTACAATCTTCAAAGCAGTTCCAACAAATGCTAAGCCCGATCAGCTTTTCATAAATCTATAAAAAGAAAAATGCATGCTGGCTGAGCTTCATTGGGCAAATAGACTAAAAGTAGGGTGGTAAATATACAGTGGGAAACATTTTAAGGATATAATTCATGTTCAACTGAGAAACCACTCAAGGACCCATTTTGTGGCTTACTGAAGAGGGGAAAGACAGTACTGGATTAAAACGAGAAACTTATGATGTTCCAAATGATAGTAGTAAGTCTGAGGATTGTGAGTATTTTAGAAACCAAGGAAGAGCCGCTACAAATTTGAGGTGGGGGGGTGGTGGTGGTGGTGGTGGTGGTGGGGTGCTGGGGCGGAAATAGAATGAGTAAACTGGCCAGGCATTTACTTTTTAGAAATTGTAAGATTTTGTACAAGTGTATATTAGAAGGACAAGAGTGGTTAAGTAAGTCTTGATCCTTTTAAAAGCAAGATAAATTATCAAGGGGAAATTAGAAAATGGCAGAGACAACCAATAATTTTTTTTGTTTTGACAATAGAAGACATAGGTTACATACCAGAAATCAATGCAGGTGATTGAAGAAACGAAGGTAATCAGTTAACATTGATTAGAGTAAAAGTACTAGATCTCTAAAGGAGATACCTACCATATCTGCAGCTATGATTTTCCAAAATTCCCTAGATTCTGAAATGGTGCCAGCAGATTGGAAGCTAGGAAATGTAACCCTGATATTCAAGAAAGAAGGGAGAGAGAAAATGTGGAACAATAGGCCAGTTAACCTTGCATTAGTCACTGGGAAAGTGTTGGAATCTGTTATAAGGAAGTCTTAGCAATGCACCTAGAAAACATCATAGAATAAATTAACATGGTTTTATGAAAGAGCAACCTGTTCGATAAATTCATTAGTATTGTTGAGGTATAACTAATAGGGTAGATAAGGGGGAAACAGTAGGCAGTGTATTTGGATTTCCAAATACACTTTCAGTGTGGTGCCACACAAAAGACTGATGCACAAGATGAGGGCTCGTGGAGTTGGGGTGATAGATTGAGGATGGAGGAATGGTGAATGGACAAATCACATCCGTAAATTGTTGACCACTGTACCTGTGGCTACTTTGTCTACTACAGTAGTTTGCTATGGACCTGCGCTTGAACCTTTCAAATTCTGCACTAGCTGATGACTGAAGCCTCGGGGAGACTGGATAGAGGAGAACAGCTTCCAAGTCTCGAGTGAATTTTACTGACCGTGAAGTTAACTACACCATCCTAGAAACTTTAATGTTTCACTTGTTTGTTGTCAACGGACACCACTTATCAATTGTACTTTCTAAAAGTTGGTTTCGGAGTCTGTAGAGCTACTTAATGCCTAATTTCTTAATAACATTGTTAGTTTTCTTTTCCCTTTTTAATGGCTATTGTGAGATTTCTTGGAGATATAATAGCTCCTCGTATTCTTCACTTGCAATATAAACAGGCTTGCTGTGTCGCATTGTGAAAAGTAGTGTGACTTTGTCATATAAAAAAGTATATATGTATATATATTTTGTGTTGTTGAACACTGCTTTTTTTAAAAATATAGCTATTAACTTTTTTCTAACTTCTTTTGCACTGTCTCCTAGACAAAGCTGCAAAATGCACTCTATTAGATGAATTCTATTCTCTCCAATTTGCCATCTGAAATTATTTCTGAGCATGCCTTCAATTTTAGCACCTAATCACTCTCCAGTGCTTCCCAGTTATTGCAATTGGGAAGAGGAAGAGCAGCAGTGCCTGACTCTCTCCCTTCACCCATTTGCAAATGCCATGTCTGTGGGAGCAGTTTTTTGCTGTGATTCTCGTGTCAGCCTCATTTTATTCTTTTGCAGCATCCATGGCACCTGGCTTACATTCCAATTTGAATACAACCAAATTTCTAAACTGACATGTCTCTCTCTTTATATTGTGTAATTTCTAAGGTGAGAATTAAGTTTCCCAATGTTCATGTATGGCTATAGCTGCCAAAACAATTAAAGCGTACTATTGAATAATTACTGTAAATTTGTGTTAGCAAATGCACCTTAGACAACTTTCTTTTTAAATACAGTTTACAAAGAAAAGTGAAAGAAATAGTTCACAAAGCATTCTGGGACTGTCTGGAAGCTCAGTTGAACCAGGATCCACCTGAATACCATCACGCCCTTGTGCTTTTGGGAGAAATTAAAGAGGTAAAGGAATGAATACTTCAATCATTCTTGTGGCTTTTTGAGACTGTTATGGACCAGACCTCAAAACATATCAAGGAGATAACCTAGACCCTAACTTTTGTCTTACTTTGAAGCAAGTGGAAGATGTTGCGTTCCAGATGTGATTAATTGGTCAAACTGCTAGGCCTTAAGCAAAACACACTTTATTCTTACACTACAGTTTAAAATATAAACAGAAAAAGAAGAATTGGCATAATTTTAACTCCATCAAAATACTTAATAAAATAATATATTATTTGGTTATTACTCATCAACTGTTCCTATATAGCAGCATCCCATAAATATAACTTTGGCAAAGGCAAATCCAGCAAAACAGACTTGCTCACTTGCTATCTCCTACAGTCCAGGAGAAGGAACACTGACAGAATGAATCTAGCAACAGAGAGCAAGAACTCGAGTTTTTTTCAGCAGCAGAGAGAGCTATATGTAGCAGCTTCAACTCCAAAACTCCAAGCCTGACTTCACTCACTCATACTACTAGAGTCACATTGCATGGAGACAGACCCTTCAGCCCAACTTGTCCATACCGATCAGGTTCCCTAAACCAAACTAGTTTCGCATACCCCTACAGTGGGGAAAAGACCTTGTCTATTCACCTTGTCTGTACCCGTCATGATTTTATAAACTCCTCCAGCCTCCTACCCACCAGGAGGAAAAAATTCCCAGTTTATCTAGCCTCCCCTTATAATTGAAAACCTCCAGTCTCAATAACGTTCTTGTAAATTTTTTTCTGCACCCTTTCCAGTATAATAACATCCTTCCTGTAGCAGGATGACCAGAATTTTACGCAGTACTCCAGATGTGGCTTAACAATATCTTGTACAGCCATACCATGACGTCTCAACTCCTATACTCAATGCACTGACCAATAAATGCAAGCATATAAAATGCCTTCTTCACTAGCATGTCTACTTGTGATTCCACCTTCAAGGAACTATGAACCTGCACCCTAAAGTCTCTTTGTTTGCCAACACGCCCCAGGACCTTACCATTAAGTGTATAAATCCTGGCCTAATTTGCCTTTCCAAAATGCAGCATCTCACATTTATCTAAATTATACTCCATTTGTCACTCCTAGGCCCAGTTGCCCATCAGCTCAAGGTCCCTTTGTTTTCTGAGATAACCTTCTTCAGTGTCCACCAATTTTGGTGTCATCTGCAAACTTACTAACCATTCCTCCTACATTCATATCCAAATCATATACATAAATGATAAAAAGCAGTAGACCCAGCACTGATCCTTGCGGCACACCGCTGGTCACAGGCCTGCAGTCCAAAAAACAATGCTCCCCACCACCCTCTGTCTGCTATCTTCAAGCCAATTTTGTATCCGATTGGCTAGCTCTCCCTGGATGCCATGTGATCTAACCAGTCTACCATGCGGAACCTTGTCAAAGGCCATGCTGAACTCCATATAGACAATATGTACCGTTCTGCCTTCATCAGTTTTCTTTGTCACTTCTTCAAAAAACTCAATCAAGTTAGACATGATCTCCCATGCACAAAGCCATGTTGACTATCCCTAATCATTTCTTGCCTTTCCAAATATACGTAAGTCCTGGCCCTCGGAATCCTCTCCTACAACTTACCCACCATTAATGTCAGGCTCACCGATCCATAGTTCCCTGGCACCACCTTTCTTAAATATTGGCACCACATTAGCCACTCTCCAGTCTACCTGCACCCCACCCGTGGCTATTGATGATACAAATATCTCAGCAAGGGACCTAGCAATCACTTCCCTAGCTTCCCACCAAATTCTGAGATACACCTGATCAGGTCCCAGGGATTTATCTACCTTTTATGAGTTTTAAGACCTCCAGCAGCACATCCTCTGTAATATGGACACTTATTTTTTTCAAGATATCACTATTTATTTTTCCAAGTTTGCTCGCTTCCATATCTACAGTTAGTAACAGCTGCTTCTTAACAAACGTAGCTGTTCCCATTTACAATCTTTGTTGTTATTTATTTGTTGTATCTTCCATAATGATTTTTAAACACTTGGGCCCAAATTTTCAGAGCAGCAACAATGATGAATGGGTAGCTGCTGTACGTGTTTTCTTTACCAGGGTCTTTTCTTACCCAGGGCCTTCTAATCTTGGGTCATAGAAATGTGCAGAACAATGTCCATTAGGAACTCCCATTGGAATGGAGTAGAATCGGTAGAAAGAAAGGGCAGGTCTTCTTTTTATGGCACCTAGCTGCTGCATGGTAAGATTAAAGGGTCAGGGCCAGACTTTGAGTATGAGGAGGACTGAGGTGAGGTGAGGTAATCAGTATGGGTCAGGAAGATGGTCTGCTCAGGCTAGCCGGACTAGAGGGGAGTTGGGTGGTCGTGTGACAGGGAAGTCAGTCATCTGGCTGAAGTCTTCAACTCTAATTTCTAGTTGGAGACATTTACAAAGGGTTGTGGGGAACGGGAAATTCCTATCAGGAAAGTTCCGTCTTCTGGGCAATTTCTGTGTAGGTTCACACGCCAGGACCTCTGCAGGGTTCCAACATGCATTTTTAGTTTTGCATCTTGTCTGAAATGATCTGCAAACCAGATGATTTAGCCCCACTTCTTAAACCTATTTCCTTTTGTGGATATAGGAATATTTAAGGCCTCAATGCGGCAGGGACCCAGGTTTGATTCCAGTTTCAGGAGAGTGTGCAAACTCCACACAGAGTCTCCTTGTGTTTGTGTGTATTTCCTCTGGGTGCTCTAGTTTCCTCCCACAGTCTGAAGATGTGCAGGTTAGGTAAATTGGCCATTCTAACTCATAAATAATATCCAATGACGTGCAGGCTAGGTGGATTAACCATGAGAAATGCAGGATTATGGGGATAGGGTAGGGGAGCATGTCTGGATGGACTTGATGGTAGAATGGCCTGCTTCCACACTGTAGGGATTCTATATCTTGGTGATTTTTTCTTTTCTTTAGTTTTGTCCATTATCACCTTCCTCCAAATTCATGCCTATTGTTATTCATCTATTCACTAGTTTGAATAATCCTCCTTATGTTTACTGCAAGTGCTTTGTCATCTGCCAGTCTAACTAGTGTTATTATTTACTTCCCCAGTCCTGCACCAAATTTAATCTTCAAAAGCTTCTTTGATCGCTACATCTGCATAGATATTGAAGAGGTGTTAAACAACACCCTCTTCCAATTATATCTGGTTCATACTCAATATTTGGTTACACCTCATAGCTCTTTGTTTCATGTAAAAATATCTTGAGTTATTGATCTCTTGTCACGACCACAAGGTGTGTCCATGATGTGTAGATTTTAATATAGCTCTTGTAACCCCCCTTTATTTTGTAAACTTCTATGACCATTTTAAAAAATATTGAGAGGTACAGATAGGTTTAACAGTAGTTGTTTTTCCCCTAAGATTGGGGATTTCAAGACTAGGGGGCACAACTTTTAAGGTGAGAGGAGGGATATTTAAAAAAGACATGAGGGGCAATTTTTTTTTAAACACAGAGGGTGGTTCATCCGTGGAATGAACTTCCTGAGGAAGTGGTGAATGTGGGTACAATTACAACATTTAAAAGTCATTTGGATAGACACATGAATAGGAAAGGTTTGGAGAGATATGGACCAAGAGCAGGCAGGTGGGATTAGTTTGGGATTATATTCAGCATGGACTGAAGGGTCTGTTTCCATGTTCTATGACTCGAGTCAAGTTAAAACAGACCAGCAGTCCAGCTTTAGTTTAAACAGGTTAATGGTTAGAATATGATAATCCTAGTTATTGCTGAAGATTCCTTGGGAGTAAAGAAATAAAATTTAACAAGAAATTATGGTACCAAGACTAAAAGAAATACAGACCATTTCCAGTGCACTATCCCAGTGGATTGTGACATCGTGTTAAAGACTAAACATTGATATGTCTGTGACTTCTTTCTTGGTGACCATTTATCAACAACAGAGTCTGTTGGTCATTCTCCTGATAACTAAATATTTTTGCACTGCTAGGAAACATTAAGTTCTTTCCCATGTTAAGTCAACTCTACTAGAATTTCCACTATTCAAGCTGCTTTTCAAGTTTTTAACTTAACTATTGCTGTTTTTACCCCATTCTCTCTTTCTGGTTCATGAAATTGATGCCAACATTACTGTCATCTCTTAGCGCAATCATTTGAGGTTCTCATTTGTCACGTAATCTGTCAATATGCTCCTTCCATCTTCATTAAATAATGGTTTGTTAATGCAAAACCTTCCTTGTTCCCTCTTTGTTGTTTTCAGATCTTCTATGCTTTTTAATTTTGTTTTTGCTTTGGCAAAAATAAGATCTATTCTTCTTGGCTGGTCCAATTCTTAGAGTATATCACACTACTCTTGTAACAATTATTTAGGTGCCCTTTTCTCCCTTTGTTTTCAAGTGACTTTATTTCAACCTGCTGCCTTTGATATTGATGTTTATTTTCTTTGTTCATTCTCACTTATCCGAACATCGCAGTCATAACTCGTGCTTTCTTGATCACTTCCTCTAAAATCTCTACTATTTGCCTGTCCTTCCTTGAGGATTATTTAATGTTTCTGTTGCTCATTTGCATCAGTAATTATTGTTCCTCAACTTGGATCTTATTTTAAGTACTGTTTCCTTTTTTGTTTTGCAAAATTCTGATCCAGTTTTTGTCAGGTCCCAGCTGAGCTATAGACTTCCTAACATTATTCCTGTATGTTCAAATCTTCCACGATTGTCAAACATTTTCCATGTATACGATTGCCTTGTTTTAAAAATGCGTTTGTTATCCTCAGTCTTGTATAAAATTCTAAAGTTTTTGTTTGCTTTGCTAATCTTATTTTTCCAACACCATTTGGTCACAGAATCTCAACATTGTTAAGACACAAAAGGAGGTTATTTGGCCCATAGTGCTTGCACCAGCTCTTCAAAATAGTATCGTTGCCTAGTGCTAATCTCCCTGGCTTTTCTCCATACTTACACATTTTTTTTTTTATCCAATGCCTTCTAGAATTCCTCAATTGAACCTGCCTCCAGCACATTTTCCAGGAAATGCACTCCATGCTCTAACTAGTTGCTGTGTGTAATTGGAAAAGTTCAGCAGGTCTGGCAGCATCTGAAGAAAATAGTCAATCAGAGTTAACGTTTTGGGTCTTATAATCCTTCCTCAGAACTGTTGGTAGCTAGGAAAGCGTCTGCTTATATGCAGAACATAGGGAGGGGGATATAAGCTGACGTTTACCTAGCTACCATTGGTTCTGAGGAAGGGTCACCGGACCCGAAACATCAACTCTGATTTTTTTTTCTTCACAGATGCTGCCAGTCCTACTGAGCTTTTCCAGCAACTTCTGTTTTTGTTCCTGATTTACAGCATCCACAATTCTTGCTATTTTTATTGCTGTGTCTAAATGTTTCTTTTCTCACGTCACCTTTGCTTCATTTGCACATCACTTTAAATCTATGCCCTTTTTCCTTTTTTATGAGCAGGAACAGGTTCTCTCTATCTATATAGCCTGCTCATAATGTTGAAAACCTCTATCAAAACTCCACTCAGCCTTTTTTGTCTCCAGGAAGAATAGACTCAACATCGTCAATCTATCATCATAAATGAATTTTTCTCAATCCTGGAACCATTCTTGTAAATTACTTCCACACTTTGTCCAATGCATTTGCATCTTTCGTATAATGTGGCACCCACAAATGTACACAATACTCCAGCTAAGGTCTAACAGTGCCTTGTACAAGTTCAACAGCACCTCCTTATTCTTGTACTCTATGCCCAATTAATAAAGCAGAGGACATTGTATGTATTTAACTGTTGTTTTTTTTTTCCCCACCTGATCTGCCACCTTCAATAATCTGTACACATACACCCAGGTCCCTGTACTCTTGCACCCCACTTAGAATCATACTCCGGTTGTATGTCTGTCAATGCTCTTCATACCAAAATGCGTCAGCTCACACTTCTCTGCATTGAACCACGTATGCCACCTATTCATTCACTCCAATTTGTCAAGTCTTTTTGGAGTTCCACGTTCTCCTCTTCTCAGTTTTCAATTCTTCCAAGTTTCGTGTCATCTGCAAACTTTGAAATTATCTCCTACACACCAAGATCCAGATCATGAATATAGCAAGAACAACAAGGATCCCAATACCGACCCCTGGGGAATTCCACTACAAACCACATTCAGAACTATAGATACCTGTTAACCATTACTCTGTTTCTTATCACTCTGCCAATTTTGTATCCACGTTACTACTCTCCTTATTGTTTTTAAATCATGAACTATAACTTTACTCACGAGTCTGTTGCGTGACACTGCGCCAAACACCTTCTGGAAATCCAAGTTACCATATCAACAGTGTTACCCTCATTGAGCCTTTCTGTTACTTCTTCAAACATGTTCTAAGTTAAGCACGATTTCCCCTTTAGAAATCCATATTGACTCTGGCGAATCAATCCACCTTTTTCCATTTAACGACTAATTCTATGCCAAATAATTGTTTTGGGAAGATTCCCTACCACAAAGTTGAACTGACTGATATGTAATGAGTTTCTTGAACTAGGTTCTGTAATGTTTGTAATTTTCCAGTCTTCTGGCATGTCCTCTGGATCTGTGGAAGACTGAAAGATTGTGCCCAGTGCCTCTGCAATTGCTGCTGTCCCTTCAAAATCCTTGTGTGCATTTCAGCTGCTCCCATTGCCTTGTCAATTTTGGTCCTACGTCTTTGGCAATTCTTCCTTCTCCAACAATGCTAGTCCAATCTCCCATAACAATAGATAGCTGTTTCCACGCTCCTGTTTGATTTTGGTTTTCAATTCTATAATACCTTTTTTCAATCTCCTCGTTTGGATGTTGATTTATGAGAATATAGACTTAGACACTCCCATTCGTTTCAGAGATGCCCATTTCCTTCTGAGTACGTCATTTTTACCTCCTCTTGTCCATCACCTTCCCTTGTCCATCATAATTTACATAGGATGTTTAAACTTCTCCACTTTTTTTCTCCATTTCTCACTTCAGGTTTCCACTTACCTTTTCATTACACATTCTGTGTTCCTATTCTAGGCCTGCACTACAGTGAAGGCAACGGCAAGATATCACTGAAAATAGTGAAGAAAATGGCTCGGGGATAGGAATATGGAAAAAAAAGGAAATCTATGTTCGCTTGTGGGACAAGTGTTGAAGCCAGCTAAATAAATCTAAAAATTGAAGTTATTTATTATTAATGTAACATCTAGTATTAAAGAAGCAAGCCTTCTAATTTATATAACTCCTTTTTATTGTTTAGATTATTCTCTCATTTCTGATACCTGGCCAAAACAGACTTCGTAACCAGATCTCCGAGGTCCTAGATTTGGATCTAATCAAACAGCAGGCTGAGCACAATGCAATTGACATCCATAAACTGGCTGCTTATATAATTACACTAATGGGAAAGTTCTGCGCTCCAGTTCGTGATGATGATGTCAAAAAATTGAAATCGGTTACTGAGATAGTTCCATTGTTCAGGTAAATAATTTCTCTGCATGGTGGTGAAGTGGGGGAGATAGATTTACATGCTGCTACTTTTTAAGTATTTAAGTTTATTCAGGAAATTGTAAAGTGGAAACTTGTCAAATAAATATATATTGATTTCCTTTTTAAGAAAAAGGACCAATACATTTCTGACCAGAATGTTATGTATGTTTTTTCTTGCATTCTTCTCTGAGTGGGCTTTGTTTTTTCTTTACCAGGGAAATATTTCACGTCCTTGATTTGATGACTATGGATATGGTCAATTTCACCATTCAAAATATCCGACCACACATCCAACAATGTTCAGTTGATTATGAACGAAGCAAGTTCCAGGATTTTCTCAATAAACAACCCAGTAAGTTTTTGTTTTTTTTTTTTTTTTTGTTTTTTTTTTAGTACATTTTAATAGTGATTTGTGATAAACATACAATAATTAACCAAATAAGAAGGCTCACTGCTTGCTCTTTCATCTTCTGGTTTTTGCTAATATTGTGCAGAATTAATTTTTTGTTTGAGAAATTGAGTAAACATTTTATATGAATAAGTTTGGGATGTGGCCAGATTTGTCTTGAGTGCAAAGCATTTGACATCCTCCAGATAGGGCATGGCATCTAAATTTGAATGCAAATAATTTTTAAAGCAACGTAGAAGGAAATTAAAACACAACTGGGATATTGATAAAAGTATAAAGTGAAGATAGCCCACAGAATTTAATAGTTCCTGTGTTGCTGGGAGGCCACATGATGATAGACCCTATATAAATAATGTAAATGTGGAATGAATAAATATTCAGAAAATGTTTTGAGGACTCTGGAATGTTTATGCATTATTTTCCCTCGAGATTAAATGGGATTGACTCTGCGCTGAGGTAAATTTTAAACTAACTAATATTAATTCCTATTGTATATGATGACTTTTACACTTTCTGTGCCTGAACTACTTGGGAAATGCAAAAATTGGCAGAGACCTAGTGATTATTAACCCCTTCTGAACTGAAATGGTACTCTTGTCCATAAAGCTAGTGATTTTTTTTTCTTTTAAAGACTTTTTTAACATACTTGAACAATATTTAATACTCAAAATATAAATATTTCTGCTTATAGATGCTCTTGATTATACAACTCAGTGGCTAACGGAGTCTGTTACTGAAATATCAGCATCTGTGACCTCCTCAGACACATCACCTTCTGATACTGACGGGAATGCCAGTCTTCTCCTCAGTCCATCGTCTGTGTTAAACAATGGTTATTTGAAATTGTTGCAGTGGGACTACGACAATAGGCCCTTACCTGAGGTAAATATTAGATTTTTGTATAAGGGATCCTGGGAATTTGGAAATTTTTTTCAAAGTTGTAGAAACATTGAGTTTGGACAACCTGTCTGAAACTTTGAGCTCTTCAGAATCTTTCTAACTGAGATTGCCCTTTACGTCTAACAATGCAAAGAGGGTTTGAGGATGAACATTTAAATTTCTTCAGGCAATAAGTTCAGATCATTGTGAGGAAATCTTTTTAATAAGTTGAATGATCACACAGTTTTATGAAAAAAAAAGACTGAACTGCTATTGAAGGTATCCTGAAGACAGAAAAATTGGGACAGTCTGCTCTCGCGGGAGAGTTGCAATGGCATTTTAAGTAGCATGGGATCTGAGAATAATGTGCAAAGAATCAGCTGTCATTAAAAAATACCTTCTCTGACACATGGTGCTGCAGAAACTTTCTGTTGTATCTTTGTCATAGCACAACTTCTACAGTCATCTTGCATCCATTAAAATATGGGATGAAGTTGTCAAGTCTTGACTTGATGGAACGCATCCTAAATAAAAATCATTTGTTTGTCAGGCAGAGCAAATCAGCAATCTCCAGAGAGGAATATTTCATCCCAAGCCAGAATACAATGGAAATTTTGGACTTTCAATCATTCATTTGCACAAGTTGTAATCAAATTTAGTAGTAGAATTATTTCCCCTCCACAAATAAGTTGATTATAAATTTGTTTCTAAAATGGGACATACTGGTTCAGGTCCATTATACACAGTGCCTAATATTTAGTTCTGTTGCAGCTAATGAGCTAAGTATTTGGGCTGTATATAATGGGCAGATGAATCAAAATATTCCATTTTGTACCACAGTCAAATCTAATTTATATCCTTATAAACCTGAAGAATGTTCATTTCATTTCTATGGAAGTGAACTGGTATTTAGCTATTCCAATTGTGCCTGTGTAATTTAAAATTCTTCAAACATCTATATTATTAAGGTCATATTGACTCCACTAACTGGCTGAATTTTTGATAGTCTAGATGCAGATGGATTTTTTTTTTGGATTTTGCATTTTTTTTTCCTCCAAATAAAAAGTGATCAATTGGTGGTTTGACTTTTATATAGAGTACATAAAATAGCAAAGCATTCCTTTGCACTTCTTTGGAGGAGACTTGTGCTGCTTTTGATTCTGGCATTTTGTGATAATTTTGTTTATCTGATTGTCATGAAGTATGAATACTTCACTATCATTATAGATTCACCAAATTTATTTGGTATTGAGGTGGTTATTAGGCCTCACTCAGCATTTCTCGCGCCAACCACCCCACCCCACTCCACCACTAACACTCCTTATTAGCCAATCTTTCTATTTAGAACACCCCCACTTTTCTGTGATCCTTTTAGTCATTCATCATAATAAACCAGTCACGTTTTGGGGCAGGTCACCTTGGTTTCTGGTCTGCCCTTGAATCGTATTTTTTTTTAATTCATTTAGGTATGTGGGCTTCACTGAATGGGCCAGTATTTATTGCCCAATCTTAACTGCCTTTTGAGAAGGTGGTGGTGAATTGCCGCCTTCTCGAACTGCTGCAGTACAGCATATGTGTTAAGAAAAGTGTAACAGCAGCAATTTAGAAAAAAAGAGTTTGAAAATTGACCATACCTGATGAGGAGAGATGGCTAGGACACCTGTAGTAGCTGAACAAAAAACTGAAGTCGGCGTCAATACAATGGGAAAGGGTGACATGGAAGAACCAACCATTGCTCACTGAATTGGGCCAGTCGTTGGGCCCTATCAGAATGAGAACTGAATCATGGAATAATGGACTTGGCATGGGTGGATTAGATTCAGAAAATTCCAATACAAACTGCAGGCTCTATAGAATCATTTTATTTTTTAAAAAAATTGTTCAATTTTCTGGCCAACTCTTTTTTTTTACTATTTTGAAAGAATTAACAAGACCAAATTTATACATGCACAGAATATTTAAAAGTAAATATTTTCTTTCTCTCACTTATTGTGGAAAAGTATTACATTTTGTACTTGTTTCTAGGTGCCTGGCAGTGGCAGTTTCATTTGGAGATTTTGGTTATAAATATCTAATTCATAATTCTTGTCATTCTGAATATAATGTTTAATTTTGGGAAATAAAGTTTTAACTGTAGGCAAATGGGAAGCATCTGATTCTCCAAATTTATTGAGAAACCTAGATGTATATACAATACAAAGAAGCTTGGAGTTAACTGCATTTAAAAGCTAATCTGTGTTCGTCTTACAAGGTCATAGGTTGTAACACAAAGGCAAAAAATGATTATGGGTCTGTCATTTTGTTATAATAGAGCCAGAAGGTCTCCTTACCAATTACGTGGGGATCTTTCCATTACTTGTATATCAAACAATAATTGGAATATTAAAGTAATTTCCAGAGAGTTGTGGCATACCTTTTATGGGTTTAGTTGGAAAAAGTGAATGAAACCTCAATGAGTTTTGTAAATGAAAGGATCACCTTGGGACAGCCGTTGTAGTAGAACTGAGTTGATAGTTTAAATCCATGCTATGATGTTGGTTAGTGTTGCTTGATTTGTTTAATTTCTCTTTATATCTCCAATAAAGTGTGTAATATTGTCTTATCAGTTAATTGCTGGCTGTTTTGGATTTTTTAAAATACAACTTCTCAACACAGTCTTAACAATATGAAGTGTTAGGCACTTTTCCCTAATCACTCTATCATGTTGTCAAAGTCAGTAACTCATTTGGATGGAAAGTGAGTTCAGGTGTTGACTGTCAGGGTGTTATATATTGATCCCCACCCTCTCAAATAAAGGCATGGTGTTAGACCACAAAACTGCTATTCGTATAATTTTGTCTTTTTGTCAAGTTACAATGCAGCAGAATTTACTGAAGGAAGGAACGTAGTCATCACCTCATGGCTGATCCAAGCAGCAGTGATAGAGATTCAGGAGTTAGTATGTTGGCTACATTTGGTGAATGGCCTGGAAAAATCTATGAAGTGGGTCAGAGAAAATAAATTTGCAGAAATGACAACAGAAGTATTCCGTCTTTTGCTATAATGCAGTTCGTGGATTGCAGGAAAGAAGTACTGAAATGGAAGAGTCCCACAAAATCACAAATTACAACATAACCCTTCATGGCATTCAAAATATCTTTGATTTTATTTTAGACTCTGATGACTGACCGATCACGTCTCCAAGAGCTGCAACAAAGACTGAACCTGCAAAGGCTTGTCGCCTATATAATGTTGATCATCTACAACATGGTAGGGGCAACCATTTCAGGACTACCTGAGTTTGCAGACAAATTAAAGCGAGTTATTGTGGTTCTACTTGAGGGCATGCATGACAAGTGAGTTTGAATTTTTTTTTCCTCTCTATTCATTCATGGGATGAGGACTTTGCTGGCTAGGGCAGCATTAATTGCCTGTCTTTAATTGCCCAGAGGGCAGTTCAGAGTCAACCACATTGCTGTGGGTCTGGAGTCACATGTAGGCCAGACCAGGTAAGGATGGCAGTTTCCTTCCCTAAAGGACATTAGTGAGCCAGATGGGTTTTTCCTGACAATCAGCAATAGATTCATGGTCGTCATTAGATTGTTAATTCCAGATATTTATTGAATTCAAATTCCACCATCTGCTGTGGTGAGATTCAAACTTAGGTCCCCAGAACATCACCTGGGTCTCTGGATTAACAGTCTAGTGACAATACCATTAGGCCATTGCCTCCCCTGTCCATCCATCTCTCAATCCAATGGTAGTAAATCAATTTTCTTTCAACAGGCTACTAGAACTAGTTGTATTCCGTGACCTGTTAGCGCATTGGCTCATGCCAGGTCAAAGCCAAGGATGAGATCCTGCTTTTGCATTTTTTGAAGTAAAATTCTAGAAGTGAAATATTACTGTATTAAATTTTTTTCATATCATTTTTATTTGCTTTAAAGTCCAGGTTTCAAATGTCTCGCATTGGAAATTTACACAGGGTTCAGTCAGTGGAGTGTAATATTGAATCACTGCCTATGAGGAAAACATGATTCTTGTGCAGGGCATTTTTTTTTTTTTTTTTTAACATCCTTTCAACTTGAAAGGTGCCTGCTCCGTCAATTTCTCCTCCTAAAGAAATTGCTTTCACCCACACAGATGAGCATATCAAACTTGTTAGATAAGTACGATGGCTCAAGTCCCAGACTACAGTATTCTCTGGCCCTTTGTGTGCCTTGTCCATGGTTACATCTTTACTACACATGAAATCTGACAGCCCTATTCTCAAGGGTGTGCCCACATGCTGGAACAAATTGTCCAGCTATCACTGCCTTCTCCATTGATGGATCACAATGTCTTCAATTCTGCCTTGCAATATAATGATGCTGAGTTAGGGGTCCTACACTTTTCAACATTTATTATCGCTGTGCTTGCCTTGGATTATTTTTGGGTCCAAAAGTTCCAATGTATACAGCCTACAGTACCTATCTCCTCACTGTGTGTTAGTCAAATGTAATTTTAATTCAGTCAAAGTTATTTGTTATTCTTTAACATCATTTTGAAATCAAATGTTGATTCCACTTGCAACTGGAAGTTAATGTAAGAACTTAGCAGCTGGTCGGCTTACCAGATGCCTATGACGTCATTTTTGTTTCACGCTGGTTTTCAAACAGGACAGTGCTGGCTCCCTTAATTGAAATGGTGCACTCCAAAAAGGGGAGGAACAGAATTGAAAAAGTACATGTCCTTCCCCCACTTCACTGAACTCCCACACGATCAAATACCCAAGCCTTCCACTCTGCCAGCTACACCTGTTTCTGGCTCCCCCATTAACGGCTGTGTATTTATACCCCTTTTGACTTAGATGAGTTGGCTGTGCTCTATTTTTAAGAGATAGTAGGAACTGCCCAATGCTGGAGAATCTGAGATAACAAGGTGTAGAGCTGGATGAACACAGCAGGCCGAGCAGGAAAGCTGACGTTTCAGGTCTGGACCCTTCTTCAGAAATGGGGGAGGGGAAGGGGGTTCTGAAATAAATAGGGAGAGAGTGGGATGTGGATAGAAGATGGATAAAGAAGATAAGTGGAGAGGAGACAGACAGGTCAAAGAGGCGGGGTTGGAGCCAGTAAAGGTGAGTGTAGGTGGGGAGTTAGGGAGGAGATAGGTCGGTCCAGATAGGACAGACAGGTCAAGGAGGCGGGATGAGGCTAATAGGTGGGAGGACAGGTTAGGGAGGCGGGGACAAGCTGGGCTGGTTTTGGGATCTGGTCAGGGGAGGGGAGATTTTGAAGCTTGTGAAGTCCACATTGATACCATTGGGCTGCAGGGTACCCAAGCGAAATATGAGATGCTGTTCCTGCAACCTTCAGGTGGCATCGTTGTGGCACTGCAGGAGGCCCAGGATGGACATGTCGTCCAAGGAGTGAGAGGGGGAGTTGAAATGGTTCGCGACTGGGAGGTGCAGTTGTACTTCCTTCAATTCCTCCCACTTCCTACAGACAAAGGGGGTGGCCATGTGTACCCACATGGGCCGAAGCTATGCCTGCCTCTTTGTAGGATACGTGGAACAATCCCTCTTCCGAAGCTACACTGGCCCTATCCCGCACCTCTTCCTCCGTTACATCAGTGACTGTATTGGCGCCGCCTCATGCTCCCACAAGGAGCACGAACAGTTCATCCACTTCACTAACACCTTCCACCCCAACCTTAAGTTCACCTGGACCATCTCCAATACCTCTCTCTCCTTCCTGGACCTCTCTGTTACCATCTTTGGCAACCACCTGGAAACCGATATCCATTTCAAGCCTACCAACTCCCACAGCTACCTAGAGTACACCTCCTCTCACCCACCTTCCTGCAAAAAGGCTAACCCCTATTCCCAATTCCTTTGCCTCTGCCGCATCTGCTCCCGAGATGAGGCATTCCACTCCCGGACATCCCAGCTGGCCTCATTCTTCAAGGACCGCAACTTCCCCTCCACAGTGGTCGAAAACGCCCTCGACCGTGTCTCTCGCATTTCCCGCAACTCATCCCTCACACCCCCTCCCCGCAATAACAACCAAAACAGAATCCCCCTCGTCGTCACGTACCACCCAACCAATCTCCGGATCCAACACATCATCCTCCGACACTTCCACCATCTGCAATCCGACCCCACCACCAAAGACATTTTTCCCTCCCCACCCTTACCTGCTTTCCGGAGGGATCACTCTCTCCGTGACTCCCTTGTCCGCTCCACACTCCCCACCAGCCCCACCACCCCCGGCACTTTTCCCTGCAACCGCAGGAAGTGCTACACCTCCCCCTACACCTCCCCGCACACCTCCCCGCCTCACCCCCATCCCAGGCCCTAAGAAGACCTTCCACATCAAACAGATGTTCACCTGCACATCTGCTAATGTGATATACTGTATCCGCTGTTCGCGTTGTGGCCTCCTCTACGTCGGGGAAACCAAGCGGAGGCTTGGGGACTGCTTTGTGGAACACCTACGTTCGGTTAGCAACAAACTGCACCTCCCAGTTGCGAACCATTTCAACTCCCCCCTCTCTCTCCTTGGACAACATGTCCATCCTGGGCCTCCTGCATTGCCACAATGATGCCACCCGAAGGTTGCAGGAACAGCATCTCATGTTTCGCTTGGGAACCCTGCAGCCCAATGGTATCAATGTGGACTTCACAAGCTTCAAAATCTCCCCTCCCCCTACCGCATCCCAAAACCAGCCCAGCTCGTACCCGCGTCCCTAACCTGTCCTCCCACCTCAAGCCCCACCCCCATCTCTTACCTACTAGCCTCATCCCGCCTCCTTGACTTGTCCGTCCTCCCTGGACCGACCTATCTACCTACACTCACCTTTACTGGCTCCAACCCTGCCTCTTTGACCTGTCTGTCTCCTCTCCACCTATCTTCTTTTTATCCATCTTCTGTCCGCGTCACCCTCTCTCCCTATTTCAGAATCCCCTTCCCCTCCCCCATTTCTGAAGAAGGATCTAGACCTGAAACGTCATCTTTCCGGCTCTGATGCTGCTTGGCCTGCTGTGTTCATCCAGATCTACACCTTGTTATTCTCTATTTTTAAGAACTAGTTTTAGCCAGCTCTTTAATTAGCTAGCCACATTACTGCAACTCTCAGGAAAAAGCATCCTTGTTTTAAGCCTGAAAGTAAATTTAGGTTTTAATTTAAACAGAAAACTAATGCAATATTTCAGAGAGTTTTTTTTTAAAGAAAGAGATTAACCCTTCAAATTCTCACACTTGACAAATCCCTAAGCCTTCATTCTGTGCCAACTGCACTTAATGCTGATGCTGATGTGACGAATGGAATCCTGCAAAGGGTGGTACTCTGGCTTTTTACAATTTATACCAGTGATTTAGATGAAGAGGGCAACAACGGCATAGTATCTAAATTTTGTAGATGACACAAAAGATAGATAGGAAAGTATACTGTGATGACAGCTGGTGGTTTCAGTCAGATTTGGATAGGTTACATGGGTGAAGATCTGGCAGATGGAGGATAAAGTGGGAAAGGTTCACTTTGACAGGAAGAATGAAATCAGAGTCTTACCTAAACAGAGAACAATTGTTGAATTCTGAGGTGCGGAGGGATCTAGCTTTCCAATTGCATGACCAACAAAAAAGTTAATATGTAAGTACAGCAAGTAATGAAGAAGGCTAATGAAATGCTAGAGATAACAAGGTGTAGAGCTGGATGAACACAGCAGGCCAAGCAGAGGAGCAGGAAAGCTGATGTTTTGGGTCTGGACCCTTCTCCTGAATGCTAGCCCTTACAAGAGAGGAATTGAATGAAAAGTGTTACACCTCAGTAAATATATTTAGTGGGACCACCGCTCACTGTGTGCAGTTTTGCTCTCCTCTGTTTAAGAAAGGGATGTGTTTCAGAAGTGGGTCACTGGATTGATACCTGGATAGAGCAGGTTTCTTATGAGGAAAGGTTGAACAGGCTAAGCTCATTTCCACTATCATGAGGGGAGATCCTGCACAGCCTTGACAAGGTGGGTGAGGATAGGATGTTTCCTTTTTGTGAGTGAGTCCAGAACTAGGGAGCACTGTTTTTCAGGACAGAGATGATTAGATTTTTTTCGTGAGGGTTGTGCAATTTTGGAACTTTTGTCTTCTAAGACCATGGAGGCAGGGTTCTCGAATATCTACAACTGCCTTAAAAACATATGCTTGTTAGGCATGGAAGTAAAAAGTTATCGGGGGTAAATGGGAATGTGGAATTCAAGAAATTAACATCTTTTTGAATGACAACAGGCTTGAGGGCCCAAACGGTCTCCCTCTGCTCTTAATTCATATTTCTAAGTATACAAGTGCACCTCCATGTTTTTATTCTTTTTAACCCTGATTGTTGCTTTTTTTTCTAGTAATGTTAGTTAAGTTTACAACCTTTTTTTTATTTTCAATATCTGAATGCAAACAATGTAAATCCAATCAACTAAAAAAGAATAAATCGCATGATTTGAAGATAACACTGCATAGAGGAAGGCCATTTGGCATATCATGCCTGTGCTGTTTTAATTGGTAGAACTGTCCAAATAGCCTCATACACACCAAGCTGTACCCCTAGCCCTGTAATTATTTTTTCACTGCAAATTAAACACCGAGTTGGAAAATGTGATTTAAAAATCTGCTTTGTCTCAATTGATTCTACTTGAGACTAGGATGTAGGGAGGTGCAATGCAGTAGCTGGTGAATGCCTTGGTTCCCATAAACTGCCTCTGCATGTGTTTGCAGCAGAATGGATGTGATCAATGTGTTGGTATTGGGAGTTGCAGGTTAATTTCTCTTAAGTCACTCAATCTCCATATTTTGTGTTCCAACAAAATGAATCACAATACGATTAGGAAATTTTACGCTGTAGTGATTGTAGCGAGGTTAGTCAGGTGGACTTCCATAGAAATGAGTCCCCTGATTGGACCATTTTAACAGCCCCAATCAAGGAGCCCTTGCTGACAGATACAAAGAGGAGTCTCAGAGGCTCTGTTCACTCTGAGAGCTGGCTCTGAGGGAGCTGGATCGGTGTCAACAACTCATCACATGTAAATGAAAGGTGACTTGGTGATGGGATGCTGGCCTCTGGGGAGTTATTTCCTAATCAATCTTTTTTGTTTTTTTTCTTTTTAAATTATATTTAAGATTATAAATGGCATTCATCTTAACTTGTCTAAAATGACTAAAGTGAAATGCAACACTGGAGACAGATTTGTTTGGGGGGGGAGGGGAAATCTGTTAAAACAAGATCTGATATTGCAATAAGATGCTCCTAAGCTGCTGTTTCCAGTACAATTTTATGAATTAAGGTGTTGAATTTGGTATTTGAGGGGAACATTAATATCACAGTCGTGGATTTGGAATCTCGAGCACGTTTTTTTTTTAATAAGGATCTAGAGGAGACCACAATGATAGCATGTAGAATCTGGTTTAAAAGGAGTCCCTTGCATATCCTATGGACTTTACTTTTCTTAAAATAAAGTTCATTATAAGCATTTTAAATGTTGGAATGCACTGTAATTCTACACGCACAAGGATGTGTGAGCATAGATTTTTGTCTGGGCAGATGTATTAAAGATTCTATTGCTTGATTTGGTAGCAGCAGGCTATCTACAACATTAAGATTCTTACAGTTGTTACATTGTCTAAATATGACTCACTTTTTTCCTTGTGTATATGTTCTATCCACATTTTATAATGGGAATTGCTTACATGTATGTATGTCATGCTGCAGTCACACCTCCTACATAGTGATGGTTGCTCAGTAACACTCTGTTTTCATAACTCTTATCCCCCTCAGCTATGTTTCAACCTGCTTTTAGATTGGCTCTTCAAATTGCTTGGAAATTTTTTTGCTTTTTCATATAAATCAAGGGATTTGATAAAAGGACCAAATGCATGAGTTTAAAATGATTTATATTAGCTTGTCCTGTTCCAATTATTTTCTGCCCTTCTTGAGAATCTATTTCATTATGAAATCACAGTTTTGGTCTGGCTCACTGTTTGGAATACCACAAGAATAAATTAGTTCATTTTGATGACCAATGTACAAAATACTAACCTGACTTTTTTTTATTATTATTGATTATCCTGTGAAGAAATTTCAATCTTGAAGAAACACTGAAGACTATAAGTGTGAAGATTTGTTCTGAAATAAACCAATCCTTGACAGAAAGGGGTTACTCTGTGCTTACAGATGAAAATCAGACAAATCTTACTGGCCAGATCTGCAGCATTGCAGAACAAAGCAACCCTGTCCGTACCTTGATCAGTAAGTATAAAAATTAATTTTGCTAATACGTTCCATCTTCTGTGATCTGGGTGTTTATATGAAAATCTTTCTAAACATTTTAATTCCCAGCTTAACTGTGCCCTAGAATTTATTGGAAGTATCAAAAAGAAAATTATAACAACACATTTTTTGCAATTAGGAATGTTCAATTTTAAGAGAGAAGTTTAATAAACTTAACCCATTGTTTTATAGGAACTGTCAGCTCTGGTTTGCATTCAGATCTTGACCCTGGCTCATTCTCTTTATGGTGATTTTCCACACTAGCAGTCAAGAAATAGACTCTCTTAATATCGTAGACTATTACAGCAGAGAAGGCAGCCCTTTAGCCCATATCTATGATGGCTCTTTAAAAGAATTAGCTAACTAGTCCCAGTTCCCTGCTGTTTTCCACAAACCTGCAAAATTTCCCCATCATGCATTTATTGAATTCCATTTGAAAGCTATTATTAAATAAATGTCCACCAACTCTTTTAAGGTAGTGCATTCCAAGTTACAATCACAGGCTTTTGTTTTACAGTGTGTTGAAAGAGGCAGAATAGGTCCGTTCATTCCTACCCCCACTATCTCAGTTCGCTGAATCAAGTTTCAAATGGCCAGTATTGGCCACCAACAGGAAGGAGACCACAAGAAGTGCTAAGAGGAAGGCTCTGTGCCTAATTGGGATGGTAGGCTAGGATGACATGGCAAAAGTGACATGCCATGAATAGGAAGTCAGTATGGCTAGAAACACACAGAAAATGCTGGAGAAACCCGGCAAGTCTGGCATCATCTGTGGAGAGAGAAGCAAAGTTAACATTTTGAGTCTAGTATGACTTCTCTTCAGCTAAGGGCAGCAGGTACATGGGAGCATGGCACTAGTAAATTCTTTCCAAGTCACACACCATCCTGCCTTCGAACTATATTGCCACTCCTTCATTATTGGTGGGGTCAAAGTCCTGGAACTCCCTTCCCAACAGCACTGAGTGTCCCTACAGCCCAAGACTGTGGTAGATAAAGAAGGCACCTCATCTCCTTCTGCAAGGGAATTAGGAATGGGAAATTCATTCTATGAATGAATGATTGATTGGTAGAGATTTCCACCAAATTTCTCAACTTTATCACTTCATTACAATGACTTGAATGACTACCTGCTTTGAATAGTCAAAATAATCAGGAAATAGATTAGTACAATTTTCCTGTGGATTTTTTAAAATATGTAGTTTGCCTGTGGTAAGTAAGTAGGGATGTTGTAAATGATTGAAACAGTAGAAAGTTTCAGCTAGGATTTTACAAAATTTCTAATTGATTCACGTTTGTGACATGCCCTGTAGACATAAACAAAAGGTATACTTGCATGCATACAGAGAGTAAACCTCCATGCACATGCTTAAAAGTGGGTACATTTCGTGTTTGCTGATGATTACATAATATTCAACACGTTAGATACTGAAGTAGTCCACGTTCAAATGCAACAAAATCTGGACAATATCCAGGCTTGGGCTGACAAGTGGCAAGTAACATTTATGCCACATGAATGCCAAGCAATGGTCATCTCCAATAAGAGATGATCTAACCACTGCCTGTTGACATTCAATGATGTTACCATCAATGAATCCCCCACTATCAACATTTTTGGGGTTACCATTGACCAGAAACTCAATTAGACTTGTCATATAAACACTGGCTATAAGAGCGGGTCAGTGTCTAGGAATACTATAGTGAGTAACTCCCCTCCTGACTCCTCAAAGCTTGCTCACCATCTACAAGGCACAAATCGGGAGTGTGATAGAATACTTCCCACGTGCCTGGATGGGTCCAGATCCAACAACACTCGAGAAGCTTGACAGTATCCAGGACAAAGCATCCCATTTGATTGGCACCACATCTACAAACACCCACTCCCTCCACCACTGACACCTAAATAGCAGCAGTGTGTACTATCTACTAGATGCACTGCAGCAAATCATGAAAAATCCTCAGACAGCATCTTCCAAATCCACAGCCACTTGCATCTAGAAGGACAAGGGCAGCAGATACATGGGAACACCACCACCTACAAGTTCCCCTCCAAGCCATTCATCATCCTGACTCGGAAATATATTGCGGTTCCTTCACTGACCTTGGGTCAAAATCCTGGAATTCCTCCCCAATGGCATTGTGGGACAACCCACAGCATGTGGATTACAGTGGTTCAAGAAGGCAGCTCACTACCACCCTTGCATGGGCAGTGAGGGACAGGCAATAAATGCTGGCCCAGCCAGCAACACCTGCATCAAGGGAATTTAAAAAAGCCACACTTTTGCACTGCAAAAAAGGGATCAACTGTGGTATTTCTTATGAATCAAAATCTTTCTATACAATGTAAGTTTACACTAATCAAATCTTAGCAGAATAGGGATAAAGATTAAAGTTGGAAAATTCCATCCATGGTTTAGAAAAATAACTAGAGCAGCAGGTTGTAGCCATCAAAAATTGAAGGAGAATGGAGGTAGATTAGATTTTTGACTTCATGTGTGATGAAGTAAATAGAACACAGTACATTTTTTAATGAACATGCCTGGGTTGGGTGATAGCAAGAGTGGTGCACATCATGTTGTAGGAAGGGGAAGGTAAGCAAAATGTTAGTTTTATTTTTGGGTTTTGTGGGGTAGGACTTCCTTTTTTGTGATTACTGATCTGTAATATTAATGCGTACTTCGAATAGATGAGGGAGAAATTGTCACTTGGCAAATGCACAAGCAAGCATAATTATAACTAGTCTAAAACAATGTAAGTTTGCACATTTTTCACAATAGGTAATGGGCTTGATATCAAATCATTCATAGTCAGTGGCAAAACTGAAATTTGCCACAGTCTCAAAGAACTGTATGAGCATCATCATACTTCACGCCAGGAATGAGGTTGAGAATGTAGGGCTTTCATGATAACCTTAGATAAATGCCATTGAACCCGTGCAACTGGCATCGTTCTGCTTTGCACACCAGCCCAACTGAGCTTATATTCAGAGAGTGCAAATTGTGATCCAAACAGTGTCTTTCAATATGGTCCAACTATGTGTTTCTATCATATTTAATTTGGTTGTTTTAATTTTCAGATAACCGGATTGAACAGTACATAGCAAATTTGCTCAGCATACCAAATCTGCAGAAGGCTGTTTCAGTTGTTCCAGGAGGTCTTGCACCTATTCAAGCTGAACTCGAGGAGATTGGATCCCAATATGTCTGTATTATTAAATACAATGTACAGGTGTATGGGCCATTTTACTCTGGCATTCTGCGAAAGCTTCTGTTCAATAACCTAGCATCGGCAGGTACTACAGCATCACATTCTCCTTGAGTGTAGAAGGTTAATAAAAGGGAGCACACATGGTTCTGGTTTGTAGCGTTTGTTTTTTTTTGTATTGCAACTTTGTATGTTGACTGTGTAGAATAGTCTGCTCATCACTCAAATCTATTTGGATAATTGCATATATTTTAAAAAAAAATTGTTACTTGATGCAAAACCACCCAATTATATGAAGTTATTTAATATCACTTGAAGCTAAATTTATATTGCATTTTTACTAAATAATTGTGGCCTGCTCAGTTTTTTTTTTAAAAATTGGCCATCAGTTTTAATTGTCCTAATTTCTGAAATAACTTCTAAGGGAATTATACAATAGCTTAGTATTTTTCTATTAAGTGCAAATCAAACCATTTTTAAAACAAAAACATGAATACTTTTATACAAGATGCCAACCATAAGATATAGCTTGCAGGTGAGGAACTTGATATCTGCAGCAACACCTTGCTGCGCAAAATGCATTTATTCATTGGCCCTCAGCCTAATATTTTGCTGTTCACTTGTCTGTATTTCGGTTTAATGGTGCTTGAGGAGCAATTCATGGATTTTACAATCAGTAGAAACGTGAAGATAGCTTCAACATAAAATTGTTTTAAAATGTAGATCTAATTGTTTGTTGTATTTTTTTATATGCATTTATCTGTATGTTTAGTCTGGTTTTACTGCATAAACTTTTATTTTGTGAATGTAGTTTTATAGTTCCACTTGTTTGGAACAGGATTGGTGATGCCAATTTGCAACAGATGGGTCACTACTCACACTTGGTGTAGATGATATATTTTCTTCATTAGAAGAGATTTAATCCTTGCATGCTTTTTTAAAATTTTGTTTAACATGAGACCTAAGCTTGTTGGAACAGTGTTGCAGAGCTGTACTTGTTAATCTTATTTCTGCTACAGACTGCTGTCACACTGGTGCTAAGTTTACTGTTAACTGACGTGACCAGTCTGTTTTTAAAATCAAACAGTTGTATTCTTGTTTTGTTTTACAATAGTAGGTTTGTGGCCACTAACTTGCAAATTTTAGCTACTGAAGTACTGTACTTTTTGTGAGGAACTAGTAACATTGGCTATTGTTAATCCATGACTCTTCTTGCACAGAATTTCCCCACCAGAGCAAAATGTGTCTTAGTCATCACCCCATCCCAACACCACTCTCCACATGTTCACTAAACACCTGAAGTTCACTTATTTGTGGCCTTTATTTTTTCAGTAATAGTTAGAGGATTCATGTCTAAAATCATTCACAGCTTTTTCTTTTCCTTTTTTTAGAAATTACAGCTCAATTCAGCATCTACCTATTTGGTGTAAGATAGATTTTTCATCCTTACTGCCTAGAAATTAAACCACAGATTGATAGCATGCAGAGAGAAAACCTGAGTGTGCATAATTGCATGCTTTAACTGGAGCAATTTCATTCAATTAGAACAGATTAAGATGGAATCTATTGTGGGCATACCTTGTAACCACATTTTTTTTTTCTTCAACCCTAAATCTGTGCCATTATTTCTTGAACTGAACAGAATTTAAGAAACATTACTAGCTTTTATTGTATGGAAGAAACAATAGAAATGGCTGAAATTATGCTTTGTTATACCACAAATTCAATTCAGAACTGGCAATCACCCCGTACAGCATTTATCAGTTACTGTACTGGCATCCATTTGAGGCTGAGGTAGGTGCAAACCCCTGGACAATGATATTAATTTAAACTGGTAGGATGGATACCTAGAAATGTAACAATCTGAAGGACACTTGTGGAGGAAAAAAGTTGGTAATTGTCAGATTGAAAGCAATTAAAGAATTTCCAAAATGGGATGGAAAGTGAAAGTGCTGTTATTCTATTTGCTGTACTTCAAGTCTCACCTGCGTTCTCCATTGTTGACAGAACAGTGTATAAAAATGTATATTAAGTATGAAGTTTTATATTTAATAAAATCTTAAATGAAGCCTGTTCTAAAATGTATTTATTGCAGAATTTTATACTTTCACAATCTCGAAAGCCATTGTTGGACATATCTTGAATATAGTCATGGCAGAGAACATGTAACAACTTGTGAATTTGACTTCTGCATCACATCTTTAAATATGGATGTGCGTTAATATCATTTCTGATCTTAGGATATCTTTTAACAACTTTGTAGCCAATGAAGTAGTAACTATGATAATGTAGTAACTGCAGCTTTCATTTTGCATAGACTAGGGGTCTCAAACTGCAATGTGTTAGTGACCAGATAATCCATAGCACTAAACTACAGGCTCTTAAAAAAATTTCATTGGTAAACATTTTGAAATGCATACTAAGAAATATCTTTACTAATAAACTGAAACCTGAAGGACCAGAGTCCACTGCAAGTTACCTAAATTGCTAAAAGTCATTGCTCCACTACAGATGATCTTGTGTCTAGGGAACATTCTCACTCAATGGAAAAAAAATCAGTGGGACCTGAATTTTTGTAGAGGTGGGGTGACATATTCCGTTTTCTTTCACCCAACCTCTACCCCATTGAAAAGTCTGTCTTGAGCATACTGACTTTAAAAGTGGCCACACAGTACTGATAATATTGTTTGCAGAATTAATGAACTGAGGGTGGAATCTCAATTCCTCAGGGAAAATTATTCTCACCATCTAGTTGCTTGCCAAACTGTTTGGCTCACAGATGAGGTAAACTTTGTTCCAGCAGTAGCCAATACCACAAGCAGTCCAAATGAGAAGAGGATCTATGGATTTAAGATGTGCATACAATTGTAATCTTTGGTCAGAAAGCAATTAGGGAGGGGGAAGCATCGGTGGTCTGGGTCGGAGTGTGGAGGGAGGTGCAAAGGAAGGTCATTATGGAGGGAGGGTGCCCCCAATGGGCACAGAGTACCTGTCCAAAACAGTTACCCACAAAGTGAACTTTTTAACCTAAGGTTATGAAAGTCTGGCTGGTCTCCTTCAATTTGCCTTTCCCAGCACTGTCACTGTTGCAACAGAGGGAGAAATAGGCCTAAGGTTGAGCAAGATGGATGATGACTTCCACGCCCACCATGGTGTTGGGCTGGACTCAGCTCAAGGTTGGTAGGAAGGCAATGGGTTGACAACCCATTCTATTTACATGTTGTCCTCTGTGCAAACACAGCTTTGGGGAATAGTAAAATTCCCCCCGAAACACAATGAAGTTAAAAAGTGAAACAAAATAGCAAATTAAAAGGCACAACAGATAACCTAAAACCAAAGTGAACATCTAGGCTTAGAAAAGGTTAAATGAAAAACTGGATGAGAAATAACAAGAACGGGAAATAAATGAGACCAGGAAATTTAAGATCGAGTATTGGGTTTGTTTGTTGCAGGATGTCTGCTAATGAGAAAGAAATGCAGTAACTGAGTTAAGATATGCAGAAAATCCTGTTGTTAATAAATTTACAAGACTTCAAGAAGAATCCCTTGAGTTCTGAAGAAGGGTCACCAGACCCAAAACATTAACTCTGCTTTCTTTCCACAGATGTTGCCAGACCTGTTGAATTTCTCCAGCACTTTTCTGTTTTTGTATCATATAGAAGCTCTGGCCGGCATTGCAAAATCAAAGCAAGTTAATAAGTAATTATGGATTATAAAATAAAAAACAAAGCTTTGGAGAAGAGTGTCATCCAGGTGCAAGTAATTGCTCAATCACAGCTTACCTTTTACCCATTTACCTTGGACAAAGATGCACTTTCCAGTTAAGCAAGATTGCCAACAATTCTTCCCCAGGAAAGCGTGGCCGTGTCCAACAGTTCTGAGGAAGGGTCACTGGACCTGAAACGTTAACTCTCTGATTTTTTTTTTCTTCATAGATACTGCCAGACCTGCTGAGCTTTTCCAGCAACTTTGTTTTTGTTCCTGATTTGCAGCATCTGCAGTTCTTTCAGTTTTTATGAAGTGTGGCCATGTATTGTGCATAACAAAACCATGTGATTGCAAGCTTATTAAAGTTGGAAGAGATAACAAAAAGAGGCAGACTCAGTGGTAGTTATTCACTTTGGGTCAAATTGCACCAGGAGAACAAATGAGCTCTGAAAGCTACAAACCTGAAATTAGCTCAAAATTAAAGGTATGGAATCCAAATGAACATCCTTGGATACAGTTATGCAGCAGCTGGTGCTGTAGTCAGTTGAATACTTGCCTCTGAGTCCCTCAGATTATAGATTCAAGTCTCACTCCAGAGCCTGAGCACAAAGATCGAAGTTTACTGTCCAAGTACTGCATAGTCAGACTTGCCATCTTTCAGATGAACTATTAAATCAAGCTTCCATATGCCATCTTGTATGCATATAAAAGATCCCATGGCACTGTTAAGAGCAGAGGAATTATCTCTGGTGACCTGGTTAATAATTTACACTTCAAATATCTCAAAAATATATTATCAGGTTGTTATCATATTGCTGTTTGAAGGAGCTTGTGTGCAATTTGACTGCTGTTTCTTTCCTACCTTACGACATTGGCTGCAATTTAAAAGTAATTTGTTGTCTAAAGCAATGTGAAATATCCAGAGTTCCTAATAAGCTTGACTGAAATATAAATCTCTTTCCAGTATTTGGGAAAGTGGTTCACAAAACACATTTAGAAGGTAAATGAATTGTTGTAAACACGATGTTAATACAACTAAACTACCTTCATAAACAGCAGGGAATCCTTTCAGAATAAAAATGATTAAAATACATGAAGTACATTTAAAAACCAATAGGGCTGTGGCAACTTGCAAGGAATATTGAGATAGCAATGCAAAAATCATTTAATGTAGAAATGTGGGGTAAGAACAGAAGGTGTTATGCTCAAAATAGGATTAAAAAGTAGGATGTAGGCTTAGAAACCATACCAAAAAAGAACACATCAACCAAAAGCAAAATACCACAGATACTGGAAATCTTGGGGGAAATAAATCAGAAATGTTAAGCATATCATATAGGTGATGCAGAATACAATGAAAAGCTACAATATTACTTAATTACTGCAACTTGGAATTACGATGCCACTTAACCTGTTCATATAAAGAATTCCCATTTAATCTGATTGTGGTGGCATTTCCCTGATAGATTATGTTGCATGTTGGCATAAAAAGAATGGCCAAAATTCATGATAAAAACAAGTGAAGTTTGTGCCTAGCAAATATATGTTCATTCAAGTTTTTTTTTAATGAGACTATGGTTTGTATTGCAATGGCTTTATTGCAAATACATACTCATGTCATTGCAAAACAAATACATTTTGGTCCTTAGCAATACATATTATGAAACATGATAATTGTTTGGTATAAATAGAAAACACAATTGGTTTAGTTAAGAAAGTATTGCTAAGGTTTAAGATTTTTCTGTGATTTTTTTTAACTATATTAAAAAACCCAGTTTTGTCATTTAAGAGGAATTTACAGGAGCCAGGTGTGATGGATGGCAATTTCAGGAAGGTAGAAAAACCGCAGATATGGTCAGGTAGATAGGTTGCCGATAGAAAAAGTAGGGAAGATAGGTAGTGCAGGAGTCACCCATGGCTATCCCCATCTCAAACAAGTGTGCTGTTTTGGATACTGTAGGGCGTGATGGCCTCTCAATGGAATATAGCACTGACAGTCACGTTTCTGATACTGTGACTGGCTTTACTGTAACAAGGGGTTCTGAGTGATAGATTGTGATAGGGATTCTGTAGTCAGGGGCATAATGTTTCTGTGGCCGACAGTGAGATGTCACAATGGTATGTTTTCCCCCTGGTGCTAGGGCCAGGGATATCTTGGAGCAGGTGCAGAATATTCTGAAAGGGGACAGTGACCAGAAGAAGGTCGTTGTACACGTTGGTGCCAACAACTTAGAAAGAGAAAGAGATGAGGCTGTGCAGAGACAATATAGGAAATTAGGCAGGAGGTTAAAAAAAAAAGTAGGTCTTCTGAAATAGTAATATCTGGATTACTCCCAATGCCATGTGCTAGTGAGAGTAGGAGTCAGAGGATAAGGCAGATGAATGTGTGGCTGATTTCACACTTTTGGATCATTGGGATCTCTTCTGGGGTAGAAGTAATCTATATAAGAAGGACAGGTTGTATCTGAATTGGAAGGGGCCCAATATCCTGGTGGAGAGATTTGCTAGTGCTACATGGGAGGCTTTAAACAAGTAAGGGGTGGGATGGGATTCAAAGAGAGAGTGAGAGAAGAGATAAGTCTGACGCCGGTACGGTAGAGAAGATGAGCAAATTGAAAAGTCAAGGCAGAGAACAAGGTAAGACAGATAAATTAAACTGAATTTATTTTCATGCAAGAGGCCTGACAGATAAGGCAGATCAACTCAGTGCGTGATGGGGAGTATGGGACTGGGATATCATAGGTTTTACAGAGGTGTGGCCCAGGGATGGACAGGATTGACAGCTTAATATTCCATGGTATAGAAGCTATAGAAAGGGGGAGTGGCACCTTTGGTTAAGGATAAAATTATACTGTATTTAGGAATAAATATTCCTGGGAGAATGTCCAGTAAAGTAATATAGGTGGAACTGAGAAATAAGAAAGGGATGATCACCTTATTGGGCTTATAGATCCCTCCCCAACAGTCGGTGGGAAATTGAGAAGCAAATACTTAGAGATCTCAAATACTTGTAAAAATAATAGGGTTAAAATGGAAGGGGATTTTAACTTTCCAAAGAAAGACTGGGACTGCCATAGTGAAATTTAAGTGTCTACAAGAAAATTTTCTTATGTAATATGTGGATGTACTACTAGAGAAGGAGCAAACCTTGACCTTCCATTAGGAAATAAAGCAGGGCAAGTGACTTGGGTGTCTATGGGGAGTACTTTGGGGCAAGTGATCATAATTCTATTAGTTTGAAAATATTTATGGAAAGGGATAAATCTGATCTAAAAGCTCAAGTTCTAAATTGGGGTAAGGCCAATTTTGAAGGAATTAGGAAGGAAATTTCAAAAGTTGATTGGGAAAGGCTATTTGCAG